ATCTCTGAGAGTGTGATGGTAGTGAAATACTGCAGGCACACCAAATATCAATCAATAGTGGAATCCCACTCCCCATTGAAACCAATGGGAGTTGTGACATTGACATCAATGGGAGCAGGAACTGGCACCAGATTTTGATAAAGATGTCTGTAAAATATGAGAATGCATGTATTACACATATTTTCCTCAATGAACAACACCCATAATGCACTGCACCTAAAGACTAAGCCAAAGCTTAGAAGAGCTCCATGTTACCTATGAACGGTGTCACCCTCCAGGTAACCAATAGAATATCACCGTGGACAAAGGCTGAGAAGGTATTGTAGTAAATGCTGTGATTAAATCTGCCATAAGAAATTCAGGTCAGGCAGAAAACCTAATTAAACAGCGGCTCTGCAAATGCATAATGTAAGAGATCCCATTATCTGGATCTTCTTGCATCTCATATTCCCTGTGACTTTTCAGTGCCCACTTTCTGCATTTGCTAGAGAACTACCATGCCTGAATGGCCGGCTGAAATGAAGTGGTTAGGTTGCCTATTGGAATTACAGTATCCATCAGGGACAGTTAGTCTGTTGCATCTATTCAATAACGTTCTTGCTTTCTCGATGGTGCCTGAATTCACCTGATCCAAACTCTTGAGTGTAGCAGAGTTTAGGCACCATTAATACCATTCCACTACTGCAAGGATAGCATACATGATGTGTTCATACTCATTTGCACATGAAGATTTCTAATCATGCGACAGCAAAAATATTTCTGTTTGCTGACTTTATACACAGAATCAGTTGAAAAAAATGCTTTTCAGTCTCACTGGCTTGCATGCACGAATTTGGTTTCTGCACCAGTCTTAGCTGCATCCACAATAGTGGATCCTGATGAGAAACAAGGCCTCAGGGAACTGAAGAGCTGATTAGTTAAAACAAGGGGAAGGCAAGCTTGCAAGCAAATCTAAAGTTGAAGCAAAGGTTAAAGTGGCATTTAGAAACTACTGCTGGCTACTTTTGAGGAAGAAAGAAAAGGAACCTGCTTTTTTTTATTTACCAAGTTTTCACAGGGTCTCCTCTCTTCCTCTTTCCTCAAACTCAGCTCCCCCTTTATGCACCCCATTCATGAGACCCTAATCCACTTCCCATAGCCAGCATGAGCTGGCTTATGATATTGTGTAAAGAGAAAACAAACAGATATTAACGTGCAGCATCCGAGTCTGAAAGCATTCCCAGCAAATGACATCGCTTTGTGTATTTATTTTTCCTGGTGACATTTTGTAATCTCTTGGAATTAAGTATTAAATTAAGATGCACAACTGGATGTGTCTTTGGGAAAAGTATTAACACTTTCTACAATCATGATTATTACTATGCTTTGAATGTGTTGTAGCAGACTTACAGCTTTGCTTTATTGAAAAATAAATAAAATGTATTTCTGTACATTCCTACTTCAGCAACTAATACTTCGAACTTCCAGAGGAGCTTCTTCCAAGGATACAAAAACAGTTTTCCCTCAGGTAAATAGTCCTATTGGCTTCACATCAGTGAGATGTCAGGACTGAGCTCTAGACACCCTTACGAGGTAAGTAAGAGCCATTATTTCCATCTCGCAAGTGGGGAAACTGAGACAGAGAACTTAAGTGGCTGCACAAGGCTTTAAAGAGAGTCAGTGGTATCTGGGAATAGAACCCAGATCTCCTGATGCCCAGGCCTGCGCTTTAATTATAAAATCATGCTTCATTATAGGAAAACTCTCAGGAACTACAATACCAGATCAAACAATGGTCCACATACTCCAGTATCCTGCCCTCAGCAATCAACTGTACTGGATGCTTTTAAGGAAAGCAAATACCCTTTATACAACTGTGAATATCTGCACAGTTCTCTCATTTATGAATATTTATCCAGGATGCAAAATGAGGACTCCTATTTTGTGTACAGGGTGGTTCCAGTGATAGCAGGAAAGGTCACTGCTGACAAACTGCAGCAAGATTGCATTACTCAATGTATGCTGGTCAATGGAGCCTAACAGGAAGACCTAAATGCTACATTAAAAAATAACCTACATTCTTACATACTATTAGACACATTTACAAAGCCATTGTTCCTACCACTGTTCTTCAAGAGGGTTCTTTCAGAGAGTTCTAACAGCTGCCAGTTTTGGCCCGTCTCTTGGGCAATGGAGCTATGAGTCCCACTGCCCTGTCCCTCATGAACCCACTTGGGAGGAAGCTAAGTGTTCTTTCCAATAGTGCCATTGTCCGACAAGCTCCACAGGTCCCCTGGGATCTGTATGGATCAAAGGGAATCAGTGGCAGTTCACAACCAGCTGTTGAGAGGCCCTGTACCTCTGCACCAGCTCTGTATCCCTTGTGGGTCATCCTTCCTGCATTCCAAGGCAGCACAGCTCTGATGGGGGATGATACATGTCCTACCCTGCCTTGCTCCACCTCTATCCCCCTTCCCACTGCCTCACCCCTCGCAGATCCCAGGACCCACAGTGCATCCTCCACAAGGTGTATGGGGGAAGGTAGGACAGTGCCATGGAGGCAGTGCTGCCTTGCTTCTGCAGAAAGAAGACACTGGCACATGGAAGGTCCTTTGCTCATGTGGATCTTGGGACCAGAATCTGTCCCCAATGCCATTTTCTAATTAAATGCTCCATCCTGCAAGGTACTGAGCACTCTGTCCCCACCTCAGCCAAGCACTTAGGCACGAGCTTGACTAAGTGCATGAATAGTTTCATTGAACTCAGTGGAACTCCACACAGCCAAGTAGATCTGATGGCAGGGTTAGAGCCTGAGAAACAAGCAGCAGGGCAGTCTTACAAGGGTAAAGAAAAAGAAGGGGAAAGGCTCTACATGTTAAATGAACAGTGGTTATAATTAAAACCGACTCAGAGAAGGTTTTAGGTTACATTTAAAAGTGGAGAAGGGATTGCTGAGATGATCGTCAAAGGTGTGCAAGGTTCACACCCTAGGGTGTCACTGTAGCAATTGCTCCTTTGACTGCCAGTATACCTTAAATGTGGACTGAAAAAAGAATTCCTCGAACATCACGCAGTCATGAAGGACAGAACATTCACCGGACAGCAGCTTAGAGGGAAGATGCATGACGTGATGGCCATCCGCGTCACACCTGAGCAAGCTGGTCAGGGAGAAGGAACAAAGAAGTGGTAACTCTGATGCAGAAAGCATCTAAAAGAAGAACAGGTGGACTGAAAGTAACTTGATAGATGAAACACTATTACTAGGGTGGTTCCATCTAAGGCCACCTTGCTGTGCATCAGCACGATGGGTATTTGTGCTCTGCCACCAGGCTGAGGCTCAACAAGGTGTTGACAAATGGAGGAAAGGGCCACCCACCCTGAGCTTGCCCTCCATTTCGCTAGTGGAACCAACATGGTAAGTGCTAGGAGAAGGAGTGTCAGTATCAGCTGATTTCATATCATGCCTTTTCTCCACAGTCATTGCACTTGGGCATCTTCTGGACAAATGACTAGTTACCCTCCTTGGCCTCAGACAAGTGGTATTTTTCTTCTTCCAGCCAACCTACCAATGTTAATTCATTTACACATGCTGTTACACAACCCACTGTCCTAGAGCAGCCCTTTGTAACATAGCAGGGCATTGTGGCACCTGTACCTCAGTTTCCCCTTGGTCTTCTACAACTTCACTCAACTATCAATGCCTTCCAGGCTACTTCAGTGACTTCGGCCTCTGATAAATCACATTTAGTCCCACCTCTTCTGGGGTACCAATGTTCCCAGGCCTTACACTCAGGCCTGTAAATATTTCTTCCTCCTCTGTATCAGGACACAAAGCATTCCTTCTTCCTCTTGACTGCAGGGGTCCTGTACAGCCCTCTCAGTGGGGTCTGTGATCAGTCTTTTTCACTCCCTCCATAGCTCGAGGGGTCCACAAGAGGCCCAGGTAAACCCTAGGCCCTCTCATTGCTCTCTGGCCCTAAGCTCACTTAGGTTCCTTCCCCAGGCCCTTGCCAGAAGAAACCTAGCAGCCACACCTGTTTTCCCTCAGGTCTTCCAGTGAAAAGACTCCCTGCTCACCTCTGGATCTCTTCTTCAGCCATCCCTCAGGTAGGAGCATTCATTCTCCACTCCTCCCTAGTCAGCCTCCTCCTGGTGAGCTTTCTTCCTTTTAAGGCCCACATCCTGCCCAGGTGTGGCAGGGTGGGGCTAATTGAATGAGACTGATTGGCCTTAGGTTTCCCAGGCCTTAAAGGGGCAGGTCACCCTGTCACCCATGCCTAGTTGTTTTCAGTCCACCTGCTCTTCTTTTAGACTCCACCTGGATCAATATTATCTGCTCCTTGAGCAACTTGCTCTAAAAGCCACCATGAGGTGTATGGTCACCATGGCACATACACTGGCCTTAAGCTGTCTAGGTAATGGGACTTTCCTTCATGTTAACATGCTATTTAGAGCAGTTCTTTCTCTATAGTAAATGTTTATGGAATACTGTGTGGGATTGTTTCACAAGTGCTTTTGTAATATATTGGAAGTTCTAAAGACTTGGGCTCCATAAATTCTAGTAGTCTTAAAATACGTTAACCACTGTAAAACCTCAGCAAGCACCCACTGTCATGTTTGCCCTATTCTGTTTATGCAGCAGCAGCTGCAGCAAAAGCAGGTACAGTAGAAAATCTGCCTGCAGCTTTCCCCCAAAATAAATGAAACCCTCCAGGACCACATACTTTATATCAAAAATATACTGCAATTTCTTTTTTTCCTTTAAGTTTCAGAAACATATCCATATATGGTCTACTTGTCAAGGACAATAAATAATGATGTAATAGAAAGGTCAACCTTGTGTCATTTAGCTACAGGATGCTTGATGAAGCGAAGTTCTACAAATTAAAGCAACAAAGAAGAACTTTAGGATGGATAAAAGTTTCTCCAGTGCATCTTCAAGCAGGAAATCTGAGATTCAGAACAACTTATATTTTGGCTGGTAATCCTTGATCATGGGGTGATCCAGAAATAAACTACAGGCTTCAAAGTGAGAGCATTTCAAAGCTGCCCTGCAGTAGATCCGCGCACCCAAGGAAAGGCAAGAGATGAATACTAAAGGGGATTTTCTGTACTGAGACTTACCCAAGGAGAGAACTCTTTGCAGCATTATTGTTTTGTTTCAGAAACCATCAGGTAATGCAACTATGCATGCTTTAAATTTACTTATCTTATGCAGGATCTATTAATTTGTTACGGTTTGTGAAAATACTTACTCCTATCATATTTTGTAAACTAACCAAGACTTTTTAAAAAATGCTTATCAGTTAAATTTAATTTGGAAATGTTTGGAAAGAATCATAGCTGCATGGTTTATTTACTTTTCCTTTACACGGAGAATGTGCACTTGGAATGTTTGCATGTCTTGTTTCTAAGGCACATGGAAAAATAGTTGCTGATGCTGTTATGACATATTTAAGGTACCGTAAAGTGCATGCAGTGTACCAGGTATAGAGTAAACTAGCAAAATGATATTAGCAAATGGTTCCCTTTATTTATATCTTTGGAGTTGTTATTGCAGTTAACTCTGTACTGATGGATCCAATTTGGTAAGAAATAAACCCTTTGCATCGAAGAGTTTGTGCAGAATCATGATTTGATGGCATTGTGAGATGTGCCAATCTTACTTCATAAACAGTGAGACATGTTCTGACAGCTGGGGCTGGAATGGATTTCTTTACTTGGAAAGTTCCATCTGGAAGCCTATAGTTGCTTTATTCAGCATCGTGCTAGAACTTGACCGGCTTGCGTCAACCGTTATTGCAAAAATATATTTAGCTGTTGTTGCTGCTGCTGCTGTTGCTGCTCCTGACCTACATTATTTGTTTTCCCTCTAAACATGGTAATTCTGAATGTTTTCAAATGTAAAATCTTTTCATTGTTTAAAAAGCCCATGATATTCTTAGTAGTAAACTGCCATAATTTACTTGGAAAATTGTAGAGGTTGGACTGGCAACTTACCCAAAAAAATAAAAAAAAAATAAGCCAGATCCTCAACCGGTGTAAATCAGCGTAGCTCCATAGACTTTACCCCCATGTGAGGATCTGGCCCAAAACATGAAGATCTAAAGGCACAAGTTATAGCCTCGACCCTGCAAAAGACTGAAGCACATACGTAACTTTGCACATATGAGCAATCCTGTTAACTTCATATGTAAAGTTAAGTATGTATGGAAGTGTTTGCTGAATTGGGGCCTTAAAAACGAAGGGAAAAAGAAATAGTAAACCAAGCAAATCCCACTTAACTCTTTTTCATTTGGAGTCTCTTAATTTTGTTGTTGTCGACGTGATCAATGCCGTTTAATGAAGCATAAACCATAGAAACTGAAGTTCTGTATCTACCTACAAGTTGAGCAGGGTGAAATCAATGCTAAGGCAAGATCCCCTCCACTGCTCCTTTAATGACCTCTTCATTATCCTTGACCTACTATCACCTTCTCTAACAGTAAGCTGCAATGCTGCTTCCCTGAGTCTTTTGAACAGGGACTGGCAGTCTGGATACATTATGTTTTATGGGAGGTGCGTTCAGAGGTGACCTGTTGTTTCATATAAATTGTCATATTTAGTCATTAATTGTACTGAACTGTGGTTCAAGAAGTTAATGACCCGTTTTTTATTCCCTATACTAATATTATTGATTTGCATTGGGTAGTGGCTAGAGGACCCACTCAGGGATCAGGCCCCATTTTGCCAGCCACTGCACACACACACGACAAAAAGGAGGTCTCTGCTCCAAAGAGCAAACAGTCCTATAATAATGACAAATGTCCATGGTTTTTACCACAGAGGCAGATGGTGAGTCTTTACTCACATTGGTGAGCAGTTACTCACATGAGTAGCAACCTTGATTTCAGTGGGACTACTCATATGTAACTGCTCACTAATGTGAGGAAGGAAGTCATGACCTGGCCTACAATGTTAGCACTTCATTCCTTACCATGTACTTTTGTCTCTGTATACGCTTAACATATCCATGTACATTATGGGTCTAATCTTCTATGCCTTACTTAGACAAACTTTCATTGAAGTCAATCCAACAAAAAGAAGAAGACTACTTAGCAAGGGGGAGCCTTGCCTGTGCTGAAAGTGCAGGAGCAGACCCTATGTGGAGATGGCTGTGAATTCAAACCCAGGAGGATCTTGTTAGCCTGAGATATTAAATTATAGCACAGTCAGCAAAATAGTACAATGTAAGAAGAGATCAGTAACACAGCAATTCAGAATAGAGGCAAAGGGTTTTGGTAATGAATAGTGATGGGCAAAACGCCTCAATGTTTAGGTTCTGTTCCTATCAGGCACCATAGGTTCAGTCTAACTGTGTGAGCGCAGGCTCTTGTGAGATTCCCCGTATTGCCTGGGAATTCAGGGGATATTCAGAAGTTCAAATCCAAATAAAATGCAGTCATTTTAACAGTTAAACCAGTATTTTTAAACTTACAAGCAAGATTCATTTTCAATTTGAGGAGATGGTTTGAGTTGATTCTTACTTTAACTAAACTGGTTCAACCATTCCTAGTCACAAAGAGTTTTGATGGCACTAATTTCCCTTGCAGTGGATGGGGAATATTCAGTTTATAGCATATTAATCCAGGGGGCATTCATAAGGTCATTTTGGTAGCTCACCACTAAATTAAGGCAGCTCAGCTACATACCAGAAAAGCATTGTGAGGGGGAACAGTAACTTACCAGCTCTTGTGTGGCAGTAGACTGCAGGTTGGCTGGATGCTCCGGTCTGTACAAAGAGAGAGGAAGGCATGCTTCTTGCCTCAGCAGACTTAGTTCAGATACACAATACACCTGCTGCCCAGTCTCAAAATGGAGCAGTTTTGTTTTCTGTCTTTGGTGGATTCTTGCTTAACTAGTTCTCAGGAGAAGTGTGTGTCCAGGCAGGATTTGGATGAAGGTGGTCATTTGCTGGTGCACAAAACAGGGAGACTGTTCTAAGCATAAGGCACACCATGGGAGCAGGCACATGGGCCAAGATTTTCAAAACTGGGGATGCCTCAAAGTTAGGCAGGTTTGCAATTCCAGACACTCACTGAGGTGCCTACATAAGGACAATAGTAGTCTAACTTGAGGCACCCGTGCCTGAAACCCTTGGCCACAGACAGGAGCTTGAGAAGGGTGCAGAGGGGGCAGCAGATGGAAGGGGTGGGCCGGTTTGAGCAATGGGAGCCAGAGCGGGAGGAAGAAGATAAGAGAGGAGGAGTGGAGTTATGCGGAGTGGAGTTATGCAGAGCCTTCTGGGTCCAAACCCTACCCATAGGCTGTGGGCACAGAAGGCCCCTGACACAGCTGAACTGGCATGATTCCACTACATGGGGAGATCAGCATGTCTGCACAGCAGATCATGCACACTCTTTGTGCCAGAGCTAACTCTCTGGGGGCAGGATGGCGACAGGCAGCATTTGGGGCAGGCTGGGGTTGGAACATCCAATGCTATGATGATTCTCACAAAAGAGGCATGATATGGAGCCTATTCCAACCCTTATGCTGGAGTTGAATGGAAAAAAAGGATTCCTCCCCACCTCCCCCTCTGAAGGGCCCCAGCATCTAGTCAAGTTACTTAGAGCTGGGCCGGGGTTACTTTGGGATTGTTCATTGTTATTTATTTGTTTAGCAAGGACAATATAGCTCGTGTCTAGTGACGCAGGATTGAAAGCGCCTACTTGTTTGGTTATGATGACACCTCTGCTTTAGAGTGCAGTTGTCCGGTGAAAATGTGACCTCACTTTCAGAGCCCTGGATGTGCGTGAAAATAAAGACCTATTAGCAGAGAATGAGTGAGAATCAAATCTGGACTCTCATCGATAAGGAATCAGAATGTCACGACTTTCTGTTACTTTGAGCCTGTCTGAAAATCCCTAGAAGTCAGGAATTTGGCTTTGGCTCCCTCATCCTTGGTCCTGCGAGTTAGATGAGAGAAACATGACTTACTAGTAAAAAAACTCTCTATTTTGGGCCCCATACCATTTCTCTCTGCAGGATGAGTCAGCGGTTGGAGCCGCTGCCAACGCTGTTGTTTCTGCACTCGCTGGGACTCTTGTCATAATATTTAGATAAGGGGAGAGCACCGATATGGATTTTTTTGCAAGTGGGTGGGATTGCTTAAGAGAGAAAATAAGAGTCATCCCAAAATTCACGATCCCATATACCCCCCATTACACACTCTGCAGGTAATGAAACAAAAGAAAAAGGGGGAGAGGGACACTAAGAAATTACCTTCCTGTCTAGGTTGTATGAGGCTTTCGATCATACAAAATGCCATCCAGCTACTTTGCCATGTGCAGTCAGACAACGCGGTCTCCATACATACACAGCACACAGACACCAGCTGCCAAGCAAGTACAGTGGATGATGGAGTGTAAAACAGCAGAGCAACATGTCAGGAGTTCAACCAGCCCAGGGGCAAAGAGAGCCATTGGGGAAGGTCTGGGTCATGGTACTTGGCTTGTCTGTGGCACTAATGTCAAAGCATGGATAGGTGGCTGAGAAGGGAGGAAGGGCCACTGTGGCTCTGTTCCTGGAGCTATCAGCTGTTTGGTGGCTTGGCACAGATCCCTTGGCTGCACAGGGGTCATAGCACTGGCCTAAGGCTGTCACTGCCTGCATGCCAGCTATCACTGAAGACAATAATCAAATATCAGCCTTGTGAGATCTGGCATAAAACAGGGTTGAAGAACTTCAAGCCTCCAACCTTTTACTTAGACAACTGTTGTGGGGTACAGCTTACATATTGTACCCCTTAATAGTCAAATTAACACTCCCAGCATGATCTAATACATACAACATCAAGGGTGACTCTCCACCCTTAACTTTTCCTCTTTTGCTTCTGTGGTGCTTGGAGTCTGAGATCAGTGCAGGCAGTAATCACATGTGTTATATACCCCGTGGAACTTTGCACAGCAGGATAAATGAGAATAAAGGTGAGTCCTTAAATCTACATTTCCTTGCTTTTGTAGGTTTTACTCAGGCTCTTACATTTTCTTTAAATGCTTCAAAGACAGTTCCACTGATTTTTTTTAATGGTAATCAGAGAAAACATCCTACCTCTCAATGGAAATATGAATGGAGACTATCTTCATGGGCTTTGACTCATCCCTCTACCACTGTAAAATCGAGCATCAGAGCTGTCTCCTCTGCCCTACAGACAACGTCTGTAAAGGTAGTTTAGAGCAGTGGTAACATATTGTAGCTGGAACATGAGATACTCTAAGCTCCTGGGACCATAGTGATGTGCCTGTGTGCCTGGCTCTGATGCACCACTGCTGCTCACGTTCCATGCATCTGCACTTGCCATAACCCCTACCAGAGGGTTATATTCTCCACTAGCTGCAGTCTAGTGATCCAGAGATCAAAATGGAGAGTGCGCAGTTACACAGGGGGCTGGCAGAGCAGAGTTCTTAGTCTAGTAAACTGGCACAGACGCCTAGGGTGATTGGGAATGAATGGTGGTCTAGAGCAACAAAAGGTTATATATCAGAGGGGTAGCCGTGTTAGTCTGTATCCACAAAAACAACGAGGAGTCCGGTGGCACCTTAAAAACGAACAAATATGTTAGTCTTTAAGGAGCCACCGGACTCCTCGTTGTTTTTTTAAAAGGTTATATGACTCCCTACAGAGTGTGCGTGAGAGAGAGAGACTCTGGGGTGGGGGTTGGGGGGCATTTTACAGTGTGCTTAGCACAGTACAAATGCTACAGGTCTGTCAGTGCCTGACATCCCTCCCAAGAACCCAGGCTGTTCTCTTCTGTTAGACCTTGCTTTACAAATGTGACTCCTCACAGTCATTTTGAGCTAGCCTGTTATTTGGCTTATGGCGGTGTACAAAATACTTGGCAAATGTCGGTTGCAATCGGACAGCAAGGAGAGCACCTGAAAAGGGACGCGACGGTTGGGCTGAACAACTGACACGTCACAGCCCTAATGAGAGGCCCTCGTGAATCCTGCAGAGCTGATGGAGATCTGCACCAATGAGAGTCAGTCCAAGGAATAGGGACTCACTGGCTTTCCACTACCAGAAACTCTCTTTTGGCACAGTTGCACCTGGCTCTTGTTTCCCTATTAGAAACCCCATTGCTAGCAAAGTTATTTCCACTGGAGTAGCAGCACTAACCGGCTGTTTGCTTTTCCACCTTGTGCATTACTTCCTCTAAGGAGCCACCTCCCTGGGTCTCTCCCACTCCCTATAAGCTGCTTTTAAGCATCTTGGAAGGGTAGCAACCTGCCTTTAAGGATTAACCAACAGAGCAGCTGCTGCAAGCCCCTCAGATTTTTTTTCTTTCTTTAAATGCAACCTCTCCTTATTTCTCCCAAAGAGGTGATTATCTAGGAGTCATATTCACTCCTCTGCTAGTGCCAGAAGAAGGAATGCTGTCCCCGCTGCATGCTCCTTTCTTCCCCCTCCCCCAAATCCTATTGGAGACACACGGCTGGTTTTAATGTTGGGGCTTAGTGCACATTTGAGGGAGGAAGGAGACAGGGCGGTAGACACACTGTACAGCATGCTCCCATCCAAGTGGATATGTGAAATGAACTTGGGCTCTTTGAAACCAATTCTCCACCAGTCGGCGCCTTATGTAGTCTCATATACCGTACCTGCAGAGAGTCAATGCAAAGCAGGCATCAATCACTGCCATTCTGACTGGGTAGCATTTTACACCCTCTTTGCACACGTGTAAATGAGTGCACAAGGTGGGGGGCAGCAGAGAATCAGCCCTTGTGTCTGCATAGCCCTGAAAAGTTGGGGATTTAGCACAGGCCAGGGGTGAGTGACACATGGGCCTGCAGAAGTGCTGCTGTCAGGAGAGGGAGCAGACGCACAGAAGTGAAACTGACTAGTCTCTTTTTGCTGTTCAAGCTGAGTGCACTACAGAAAGTAACCTAATAGCGTAAAGGGTGAAAAGGGCGTGGCAGGCCAGATCCTCAGCTAACGGGATTAACTCCATTGAAATCAACAGTTATCTTGCTTTACACCATCTGGGGATCTGGCCTAGCAACTTCCATCTTCAATAAGCAAAGACAAGTAGGCCAGTAACACAGAGGGGGACGTGTTAATGTTTTCTCTGATTCATTTTTAAACTGACAGTGTTCTCTTAATCCCTTGGGGGATTTCCACTACATCTTATTGCCCAGAAGTGCCCTAACCTGAAGGAAGCAGAAGAAAGTCTGCTTTACTCACTTGTAACTTCTCCCACTTAGCAAGAGATAAATTAGCTGGGTCCGCGAGGTGCAATTATTATAAGAGGGCTAAAAGAGAAAAAAAGAAATCAGGCCCATTACGTTTAAATGTCGCCTCCAGTGGATTTGCTAAAATGTGTTTTCTCCTCGACTGAAAATATGCTAAGGACTCCTGGTCAGTATAAGTCAAGGTACAGATCTGACCCTGGACACAAGATGGTTGAACGTCACTTCACATTTTCAAGATTTTGATTTTTACAGTTTCTTCTTATCCCCTGGTACTAGGCAAGCAGAAGATGGCTACAAAGATTACGGCCACAACAAACACCCAAAGAAAAACAATAGGTCATGAGGAGTACAGTCTGTACAGTAGCATGAGTGAAGACGAGCTTATTCAACTGGCCATAGAACAGAGCCTGACAGAGGATCCCTCAGGTCAGTCAGCTGCCCAGAGTCATCAGAAATCAGTCATGACAGCCCCAGGAGAGCCACCTACGTTGACGCGTCCTTGCTCTCATAATCCACCACACCAGATCAATCCTTGGCACAGGTGAGTGTGTGAGTGAGGTGGGGCCTTCACAAAGCCCCATTGAAAAATGGCTTTCCAGACAGTTTTACAAAACAGCACGGAAACTCATTTAACAGATCAGCTTGTAATTAATTTACAATGGTTAGCTTCTGATCTCATTGCCGCTGGGGTAGCTCCACTGGAGTCAGCGGCGTTACTCTGGCATGACACCATTGTCAATTGGATTAGAACTTGGGCCCGAATGTCTGCTAAAAGTTGTGTATCTGTGCAAAACACTGGACCAGTCCTGCAACCTTTTCTTACCTAAAGAGTCCTCACTCAGGTGGCAGCCTCATTGCTCTGCAGGGAACAGAGGGCTTTCCTGAGTTAGTTCTGTTCAGGTGAGGCTTGCAGGATTTTTATGAAAAAATGTGGAAAGGTTCTGATTTTTCCCCCCACACAAAAGAACCAAATATGTATATAAAACACACGGATATAAACACGACTGAGGTGTCACAAACATATTGCTTTTGTTTACTTAGGCACAAATTCTGAGCTCGTGGACACCCAGGTGCACCAAAGTAACTCCACATCTAGGCAGACCCCTCTTCCCACACAATGTCACGCTCAGTGCCGACGCCTAAGCAGCCCACTGGGTTACAGGAACCTGCCATTTTCAAAAGCAAACATTTTTGATTTTCATTTTTAAAAATGAAAAATTCTCAAAAAAGATGGAAAAGTTCATTAAAAAAATTCTACAAAAAATCAAATAATCAAAAAATAAAAGGTGCATTTCACACCCTGCAAAAGAACAACAATTTTTATATATTTTGTGTATTTTTGACAGCTCTAATTGTAATCTTATGATGACCAATTTATTACAGGCCCCCAAACAATGTGATGGGTGTCATATGTACACAGAGTGAAATCCTGATTTCAATGGGGCCAGGATTGTACCCACTGTGATTATTGTAGTATTACAAGATCTGGTGGAGGTACTTCTGTATGGCACCTGATATACGATCTGTTGTGGGGCCTGGTCATGTTGCTTAGCATAGGGTCTGAAATGGGGATCTGATATGGGGCAGGTTAAGGGCAGATCTGTCAGCTTTGGCCCTGTACTCCGAAGCGTCCCTTGCCACCTGCTGATTTTAGCACAGGATAGCATCTGCTGTTTTGCATACTGACTGGTGCTCTCCCACCTCTGCCTGAGCTCAGCAGTTTAGAGCTCCCGTGCTCGGCAAGGGCACAGCCTGCCCACCCTATTACTAGGCAGGTATGGAAGCCTGCAGGGAGGTTTGTGGCCCCAGGTTTTTAGCTGGCCTAGGACCTTGGTAGGGTAATGTCCAGCATGAGGCCTGTTCCTGAATGCACAGTGCTAATGACCCTATTTCATCCCCTCACCAGACTTCCTCATCTGACTGTGCTCTCAGATCCTCCTTTCCTTGAGGTGAAGAATGTCATCTAGCTCTGTATCTTCCTCCTGTCTAGTGTGGGGAGGTTAACCTCAGTGTTGTCTTATATGGTCATTCAAATCCCCTGACACTTCCTCAGTGGGCCAAAAATAATCCAGAGCTGAGAGAGCAGCTGAGTTCTGCACAGAGCAAGCTGTGGCCATCTGCTTTCATTCAAAGCCCCGGCGGCAGGCTCCTTCTCTCTCTGTCCCTCTTTCGGCTCCTGCCTTTAGTAAGGGGCCCGAAAATGACCTGCTTCTCCTATTCAGAGTATTTCTCTTTATTTCATTCGTGCCATCGCTACTCCAGGTTGGCAGCCCAGTCCGGAGGCCAAGCTCCAGGGTCATCTTGGGGGGTCAGACGAAGGTACGACGGCAGCCTGTTCATCACCCCCCAGCCTGTGTAAGTGTCTCTGTCTCGCTGTGTCTTGCTCCAAATTAGCCTTGTTGTCTGTCTGCCCTCACTAGCCAGCTGGAGGCTTTTGGGTGGTGGGGGTTGTGGTGTTATGTGTGTCCGGAGGAATGCATAGAACTGCCTGAGGGAATATTATTCATTTGCTCCCTCCTCCACCCTGCCTGCCCTCCCCTGCCCGTCCCCGAGCCCCCTACACACACCCAGTCACTCCTGGGCTATTCAGCCCTACAGATCCCCGCACTCTACTGCATGTGTGCAGGCTTCTGTGGATCCCTAGACAGCACTGAGATGGCAGGGGAGAGAGGAAAAGGGATGTGTGTGTTGTGGTTTATTTATACACGCTGGCTTCCATGTCACAATCACAACTGAATCAGGCGGGTGTTATTTTTAACTGCATCTGTATGAAGTTCAGAGGTCGAGCCTGGGAAACAGGAACATAAACACATCAAGGGGCATCAAATCTGAGTGAAGAAGCCTGATCCTTGTCAGTGCGCTTGGTCAATGTCTTCAGGACAGCGTGAGTCTCATCTGGTCACTGTACAGGGCTCCTACGTGCAGGGGTACATGTCCTCTCCCACGCTCTCAAGAGGGGCCGTGATGTTCCTCCTCGCAGGCTGTGGCTCTTACCCCAAGGGGGAAGCTGCCATTGCAGGCTGGACTTCTTCCTTTTGAAAGAGCGTAAACGTGCTTGGCTGAGTACAGCTACAGTTGGGGGAAACTGCTGGATAGGTTAGATAGAGAGATCAGACAGGGAAGATGAAACAGGGGGAGGGGACCAAACTGTGCCCATACTCCTGTGAAAGAGCTGGGGGGAGGGAGAACACCTGCATGGTGTCTGCATGTCCCAGGCACAATGCCTGAGAGGATGTGTCGAGGAGAGTGCACTGAGCACTCACTGCAGAAAGGGGCAACCTAAATTACTCTGCCCACCTGCTTGTGGGTGCTAGCAGGAATGTGACTGGGTATGTGTATGTGTGGGAGCCTTGGTCACACCCCCAGTTAAGCTGGCCAAGCCCTTACAAACCCCCATACACTCAGGGAGAGCCAGTAGCATCATTCTGCCTGGGGCCTGAATGGAGTGCTAGGAAGAGAAGATGCTTCCTGCACTGTTTGTGCTCCTGCCCACCTGCTCTGGACTACTCAGAATAGACCCCATCCCTAATCGCTCTTGCAGTGGGAATTCAGCCGCCTGCTACCTGCCTTAGAGATGCAGTAGCAGTTCACAAGATTCAGATGTTTTTTTAAAAACTGCCCACTTCCTCCCTGCTCCCGCTGCAGAAGTTGTCGTGTTTCTGACAGAATCCAAGCAGCAGAGTGTTTATTTTTCTATACTGACCAGCTGTGCTGCAGGCCAATCACACAAGGGCTCCAGTGTGACACTCGTTAAACTTTCGTGCTGTAGCGGAGTCTGCTTGGCTAAAGCAGCTAGGGCCTGGTCCAGCAAACCCATTACTCACACCAGTAGTTTTTATTCAAAGAACTACTCGTGGGAATGAAGACTACTCACCTGGGTGAGGGGTTTTCAGGAAGGTGTCTTTAGGGATTTTCTAAAGAGCTAAGGGGCAGATTTTCAAGAGCTCAGATACCATATAGGTACTTTAAAAAGGACCAGTTTTTCCACAACTGTTTAGCTTTCAGCAGCTCCCATTGTGATTCCTACAGACAGATGTCCAAAGGAACTCAACATCCAACATTCTGAAAATCTGGCCACATATTTTGGTGCCGAAGCAGAAGCTGAGCATTTTTTAATACCTAGTCCTTACTGTGTCATGTTTGGAGTTTCAGTAAGGTGGACAGCTTTTCTCTTCCACTCCTTAATTCAATGGAGGTGAGTTCAGATCATTACACAAAGGTTCAGGTGTTGATCTGAATTACATCACTGACTTCTGAGAAACTGGACCAGCTATCTTCCCAGAATAGACTCTCTTGTGAGGTTCCCAGCACTTCCTGCTTTCCAGAAATACCACAAGAACAATCTCTCATGGTATTTCAGCATTTCTACTTCTGGGCTCATTTCTTTTACACAATTAAACAAACTTGTTCAAACCTCAGAAAAGTTTAGTGCAGGTTCGGTGTGAGTTTGGAGAGAAGCATTGGAAAGAGGTTTCTGGACAGGTTTGACCATCCCGAGTTACCTTTTAGAGGAAAGCAGTATATGTGAGTAGAATCACATAGTCCTATAGAGCTAGTGTCCATTGCAGCCAGTGCACCCCAGAGCCACCAAAATCTTGCCATTTTAGTTTGCGTAGGTGGGCCCTAGGCTTTCACAGTCATTCTTGGTTGATGCTGTAAAAAGCTTTACTGTAACGCTGCAAAAGGTAATTGATTTTAAACATTGTTTTAAAGCGAGCTGGATCCTGTAGTGGAAGCAATCAAGGAAGGAGATGAAAGTGCCCTGCTCAATATGATGAAATCAGGGAAGAACCTTTCCGAACCTAATAAGGATGGATGGATACCGCTGCATGAAGCTGCCTACTATGGCCAAGTAGGCTGCCTGAAAGTGTTGCAAAGAGGTTAGTAAAATAAAAACAACTGATTACAAATGGAAGAGAAACTATAAATATCAGCCCAAAACAAGAAAATATAACCACCCCCATGTTCTGTTCATGGCATACACACAGAGACAGATAAATACTCTTGCTGAAAGGTTGCACTGTAACACTGCTTTATTTCTTAGATAACACACAAGAACCTAAAACCAGAGGGGGACACAGCAGGCTGTTCCCTGAAATAGAGTGGCACAGCTCACTCCACCTTACTGTAGGCCAGCTGGCTGCAGACTGAGTGCTGCTAGGCCCAGATCACACACTTTCCTACAGAGCTCCATAGACAGCAAGCAGGATCAGGAAAAATCCTGAAATTTAACGTGACAAGCTACAATTTTAACAGAGTTTTCAGTACATCACACCAACCTTTGTTCAGTTCCTCGCAAAAAGACCCTTTACTCAAGCCTTGTGCATGTGTATGAATTTCACCCTATTTGAATAAGCAGCTTGCAGTCTGTACACAATAAATAACAGTTAAGATCTTAAGTGCTGAGAGATATCTGTGCTGTTCTGGGCTGATGTTGGCCTGCCGCATATTATCAGGTTTCTTGGGGTATAAAATAATGGTCTGGATCAGTGGTGGGCCACCTGCGGCCCACGGACCGCATGCGGCCCATCAGGGTAATCCACTGGTGGGCCGCGAGACAGTTTGTTTACATTGACTGTCCGCAGGCACAGCCGCCCGCACTTCCAGTGGCTGCGGTTCACCATTCCCGGCCAATGGGAGCTGTGGGAAGCGGCAGCCAGCACATCCCTGTGGTCCATGCCGCTTCCTGCAGTTCCCATTTACACCTCAGCTAGTGTAAATCAATGTAACTCCAGAGAAGTCAGAGGAGCTACACCAATATACTCCAGCCGAAGATCTGGCCTGGCCTCTGTTTGCTAATAGTTAATAATGGGCTTCTGGTTTACTTTTGGTTTTGAGTTCCCATTGGAGAGCAGTTGCTCAATTGCTTTTCGAATCACCAGTAGCTATAGTCAACCTACATTTCTAACATTTTAACCTAATTTAGTGTCCAATCTATTGTTCTGTAACCTATTTTATAGTCAACCTACAGGATGTTCTCAACCTACTTTGACTTTGTTTATTTGGGGGGAGGGGAGGGGACCCTGAAATATTTTGAAGAGTTAAAGTGCCTCAAAAAAGAAAATGCAGTGCACAGATTTTGGGCATCACAACACATAGATCCAAACACTGGGCTCCAAGATGTCAAAGCAAATGGCATGCTGGCTGCATACCCATGGTCAGCAGGAGCACTGCTCTGGGGTGCACTGGCTTATGCTCTAACCCCTCCAATTTATTTCTATTTCATCCAATAAAAGGCACTGTCAGCACTGGCAGATACAGGTTGCACCTTTCTGATCCTCATGCAGACTCCCGTCCTCTGCCTCCCCTTCCACTGAAGACAGCATCATCACCCTTCCCCTGGCTTTCCAGTGGGGCATGGCAGCTTTACATTGTGGCTGGGACTTCACAGGAGCCTCACCAGCAGAGTATGCCCAAGGGCTGCACTGAGTCACCCTGTTCTCAGGGAACACGCTGGTCACATCTTGCTCCTAGCCAGTGCCAGTCACCTTTGCGGCTTGTGCTGATTGATTATGAGCCCCTCAGTGAGAGGAGCTGGATTGCAGACAGTCTATGCAGTAGCATGGCAAATTTTCCACCCCTCTGGGCCCTGGATTACCCCTCCAGAGATGGGCTAGAGATGGGTCTGAGTCATGATGTTTACATCCAGATTTGGCTCCATAGCCAAACTTCCCCCAAAGCTCAGGGGTGTTCAGATTTGGTGTTTCACTTTATCCCACGTACAGGCAGGCCCAGCCCCAAGTCCTGAACTTTGAATCCTCATCTGTACCTGATCTGCACTTCGAGGGGCTCGGTTGTTGTGTTCTGCTTCAGATCCATCGCTAACATGTTGGTTAATTTCTCCATCAGTACGATAAGGTGCCTCTTACTGATAACCGGAAAATGCATCACCTCTAAGGCTGAGTGTTAGCCAGCATGTATTGCTATGACTGTCTAAATGCAGGCCAGCTGTATAGATGAAAGCAATTTAATGTGTCAGCAAACTCACTGATGCAATTTTTACTGCAGCATTGATTTCTGATGCCGTATTTACGGCAATGTTAATATCTGGAGTGATATGTAACGTCAAGTGATTTTATTTTCCTCTTTTTAAAAATGTTTCTTATCAGAGAGTTTTTGGTGGTTTTGCAGAGAATCCTGGAATCTGATCTGGATGGCATGGCAAAGCTATCTCTTGGGTAATTTCCTAGCATTTGGGGTTTCATGTTTGAAATCATCATAGGAATGTAGGGCTGGAAGGGACCTCAAGTCACCTAGTCCATCCTCACCACACTGAGACAGGACCAAGTATACTTAGATCATCCCTGCCCCAAAATGATTAGCAACAGCGTTCACAGTGTCAGAGTTAGACAACATGTGCTATATGCCTTACTAACTATGGAACAATGACATCTCATTAGCATACCCTGGAACCACTGATCAGCGTACGCTTCAGGAAGAGACAGCGCTGTACATAGCAACAAGCAGGGGAAACCTGGACTGTCTACTTTCTTTGCTGCAAGCCGGGGCTGAACCTGATATTACAAACAAGTCCAGGGAGACTCCACTCTATAAAGGTAAATGGCCTGATTTTCAGAGATGCTGAGCCCCCTAGATTTCAACTGAAGTGACAGGTGCTCAGCACCTCCGAAGATCAAGCCCATGTTGTTTCTATATGAGTATGTATGTGTCTTTTTAAATACAAAATTCAAAGCACCTATTAGATATCAGAGCAAAAATAACCGAGAAGATGTCAGTCATTCACTTATAGTGTGGGCAAAGGCACAAATGTACAGGCTTTGTGTTGAGAACACTTTATTCAGCAAAACCACACAAAATCCATGGAATCAGAGTTTGGAGAAGGAAAAGTTCTCTTAGGTCATCAGGTCCATCTCCCTGTGAATGGATGGTTCCCCACGGCACTTTTTGTAGTGCTCTGTCTAGTGCCCATGGTACTCTTTCTAGTGCTCTGGCTAGCCTAGTCTTAAATGTATAGGCCCAGATTTTACAAAGTGGCCACTCTCTTTGAGTGCCTGGATTTATGGACACCCAACTTGACACTGGATTTTGAAACTCTGGCCCAAAATAGGCTACCAGATTTAAGGGACTGTTTCACTTTTCAATAAATATAAAAGATGGGCCAAAACATAGCATATGGAAGCACACCCAGCCTTGGAAAACTGTTACGAAAATTTACTAGCCTCAACACAAAATCTGCTTGCCCACAGGTGGCAGTGTATTACCCAGGCAGTGTATTACCTATTTCTTGGTGGGTCCCTTTAAATTTCCTGGCACCAGCTTCACTGGGCATGTTTGCCAAAGTCTTTCAAAGTCAAAATGATCTTAAACTCAAACTTTGATAACCAACAGATTTCTTCCCAGTGCTCCTCCTGGCCGGAGGCATTTCTCACTTCTCTTCCAAGGCCTGGCAAGGAGAACCCAGGTCACTCCTGCTCCTTCTGGGAGTGAGTGTTGAAGGATTACTAGCAGAACAATCTTTCCCTCTGCCTTATGTGATGCCCTTCTTCCAGGGTTTTATTTTAACTGGTTGGAGGCTTGATTGGGAGAGAAAGGAGCATTGCCCCACCCTTCATTACAAGGCTACTGGTGCCTTAAAAAGACAGTCATATCTTCTCATATCTTACCTCAGGACCTCTTCCTCTCTGCCCACATCTGTCCCTGCTGTTCCCAGGGTTTTTATACAGTTGAAGCTACTTGGAATGGGGTAGCCTGGATCTTTCCCCTCCCCAATTCCTCTTTATTTAAAGGGCCAGCATACCCTGTTACACTCACCCTCTACCATGATGATGAAAAAATTACTTACCTTTCGGAATGTGGGTGAGCTGAATTTTGCAAAGCTGCCATGGATAGATAATTGCTGTAATGTCAGGTCAGATAGTCCACTCTCAATGCATGTGAATGACATGCATTAATGATAGTGGGAGCTGTACCCACTCATCAAGGAAAGAATCAACCCACAGGAGAAATGATGGCATCATGAAGAATTATACTTTGGCTTACAAAGAAATTGCCATTGTACTGTCCTAGCCCATATCAACATGCGATGTACAATACATTATGGCCAGAGCTTGCAAAAGTGGCCTGTGATCATAGACACTGACTCCATGAGTGCTCCAGGGCTGGAGCACCCATGGAAAAAATGAGTGGGTACTTAGAACCCACCATCAGCCATCTCCCCCCACCTCAGTGCCTCCCAGACGCCGGCGGCCCCACTGATCAACTTCTCCCCCCCCCTCCCTCCCACCAGGGATCAGCTGTTCCACGGCATGCAGGAGGCGCTGGGAGGGAGGGGGAAGAGTGGAAATGGGACACGCTTCAGGGAGGGGGTGGAACTGAGTGGGAAGAAGCAGGGCAGGGGCGGAGTGGGGGCAGGAAGAAGCAGGGTGGGGGTGGGGGCTTGAGGGAAAGGGTGGCATGGGAGCGGGGTCAGGGGAGGACTGGGGTTGAGTACCCCCGGGGCAAAGAAGAAGCAAGCGTCTGTGCCTGTGATTCTAGGTACCTCAGGTTCTAGCGTGTTGTAATGGGCACCCAGAACTGCGGCACCCAGAGTTAGTGGCCTCTTGAAAAGTTTGGCCTAAATGACCTGCCTTTTGTTAAAACAGCCTGTGAACGCAAAAACATCGAAGCTGTAAGGATGCTGGTGCAGTACAATGCCGATGCAAACCACCGGTGCAATCGGGGATGGACTGCTCTCCATGAGGCCGTTTCTCGGAATGACATAGAAATAATTGATATCCTGATCAAAGGGGGAGCCAAGATTGAAAGCAAGAACACTTATGGGATCACCTCTTTATTTGTGGCTGCCGAGGGTGGGCAGTTAGATGCTTTGCGATACCTTGCCAAGTGTGGTGAGTACAGTGGTGCTGTTCATTTGCTTTATATATTATGGCCTAAATATTCAAAAGTATCCACTAATTTTGGTTGGCTCAGTTTTTCAGTAACCAACTGGAGACAAGGCCTAGTTTTCAGAGGTGGTGAACACTTGTTTCTCCCTGAAAGCTTCTAGCAAGAACAGTCCACATGGGTTTAGAATACAGGTGCACAATGATTGTGCTTCTTCAGTATCAATGGTCACTCGATTTAGAAGCAATTTGGTGCCCTTACTTTGTGCAGCAATGATAACACAAAAGTTTTCATGACTGTCACTGTACATGTGTATCCTAAAAATCCAGTGACAGAAGAATAAGTCACAGACAGGGAAAGATAAGAATAAGGTCAGAGTTAAATGTTAGCCAAGCATGGTCTGCTCATGAATATTCAATAAGATATGACTTGGGCAAAGCTAGTTCTCCTCAAATATTGTATCACTTTGTCCTGTTTCCCATAATGTTGAAGGTTCACCGTATGCAGTGCTGTTGTAGCCATGTCAGGATATTGCAGAGACAAGGTGGGTGAGGTAATATCTTTTATTGGATCAACTTCTGAAGTAAAATAAATAGATATTACCTCATCCACCTTGTCTCTCAGAAGGTCACAGGGAAGATATTCCAGAAACAATTTTTTTCCATGGTCGAGGGACTCCCTCTTGTGGTGTAGGGTAGTTCACTGAGGCTCTATTAGCAAAAACAACGAGGAGTCCTTGTGGCACCTTAGAGACTAACACATTTATTTAGGCATAAGCTTTCGTGGGCTGTAACCCACTTCATCAGATGCTTGGAGTGGAAAATACAGGAGCAGGTATAAATACATGAAAGGATGGGATTTGCCTTACCAAGTGTGAGAGCAGTCTAACAAGACAATTCAATTAACAGCAGGATACCAAGGAAGGAAAAATAACTTTTGAAGTGGTAATGAGAGTGGCCCATTTCAGACAGTTGACAAGAAGGTGTGAGTAACAGTAGGGGGAAATTAGTATTGGGGAAATTAGGTTTAGGCTTTGTAATGACCCAACCACTTCCAGTCTTTATTCAGGCCTAATCTGATGGTTTCCAGTTTGCAAATTAATTCCAGTTCTGCAGTTTCACATTGGAGTCTGTTTTCGAAGTTTTTTTGTTGAAGAATTGCCACTCTTAGGTCTGTTATTGAGTGACCAGAGAGATTGAAGTGTTCTCCTACTGGTTTTTGAATGTTATGAATCCTGATGTCAGATTTGTGTCCATTTATTCTTGTAGCTTTTAGCCATAGCCCTTGAGTAGGAGTTATGGAGCCACAGGTCTCCAGTGGGAGCAATGAGGGGCACAAAGCCTCCTAGAGCTCCTCATCGTGCAGAGAAAGTGCAGCACTGTCCATCTGTAGGAGGGTGCAGCATACACTCCCTTTCTCGGACAGCCAGCTCTGTTGGCTGACGAGGTGGTAGAAGGGACCTTAGCTTGGTTTCTTCCCTCCCTATCCCTTTTCAAGTGGCTTGTGCTCCAGAGGGCAAGGATCAGTCTTTGAAATCTATGTGATTTTTGTCCAACCCTTTAGCAAGGGGCACAGAGGGGAAAGACTTCTTGTACCTTCCACACTTGTACACCTGCATTGGGGCTGGTTACCTCATTATCCCCATTTTACAGAAGGAGATACCATACTCACCATTCCCACCTCATAGGGGCACCAGGAGGATTAACGAGGAGGTGTTTGTAAATCACTTTGCGGTTGAAAAGCACTAAATAAGTTTATTAGTGTTAGGGAGGGGGGGAGGATTTTAGAGTCCCTAGGTAAGGCCAAATCCTGCTCTCATTACTCATGTAAGGAGTTAGTCCCTTGAAAGTTATCAAGTCTATTGTTGTGAGTAAGGCAAGCAGGATATGGCCCAGGAAGAATGTATTTCTTAGTCAGTCAGAGGAAGAATAAGAATATTTTGATTCTCATAATGAGTCAAGAAGTCACATCTCATATTACTTCTGCTCCAGAAAGGCCTTTTAGAATCCAGCTCTCTCCTGTAGTCCCATGAGTCTTTGTGCTCACTTCTTCTCAGGTGGGTTCATAACCTTAAAATCTCTCTTACGCATGCACCAGAGCAGATTCCTGGCATGTCATGATGCATGTAAAACCAACCCTTTGGCTTCACCACCCCTTACAAAGAAATGATAGCTTGGCCCCAGCAAATAAAGGGAGACCATGCTTAAGCCTGTCATTAATTTCCAGTGCGAACAACAAATTTTATGTAGTTTATCAAATAATAATGAGCCAGATTCTCAGCTGGTATAAATTGGTAAGGCAGCATTTAAGTTAATGGAGTTACACTGATTTACACCAGCTGGGAATCAGACAATATGTGGTGTGTTGGTATAGACAGATATAGTGGGCCTGATTCTCATTTACACTAAGGCCACTTACACCACTTTTGTCATGTAAAAGCACCTTAAAAGTGGATGCAAATATAATTTATTCCCACTCTGTCTCCTTTACACAGCCTCCTTAAATGAGAATAAGTAAATGAGTAAATGAGAATCAGGCCCAACATATAGAAATATATTGATGAAATAAGAACTAAACCGCAATGAAGATAAGAAAAATCTCTAAAGAAAGATATGTGGTTGTAAAAATATAGATTGCAGTTATGGCTGATAGAGAACAAAAAAATATTGCTTGCTTTCCAGTTCACATTTTTCACAAGTCAGCTTTATGTGACATTGAAAACTAACCAGTTACTCCAGCGTGATTTAAACACTGATTTGAATATGATTTGTGGTTCAACTCAATTACATGTTAGAATGCCCTTAAAGTTCAATTTTGAGGAAAATCCAATAAAACTGCCCAATATTTTCAAGCCATAAAAGACCTGCTGAGAACCTCAGTAATAATATAATTGTTTTTTTACAATAAACAATGTTTGCCATAAATAAAAAAGAAAGATTTCATTTATTTCTCATTAAGAAAGTAGCCCTGTTTTGTGTTTTGTCATTGAAATTCTCCTGGTGTTTCGAGCTACAGTATCTTTAAATTGCCAAACAAAACACAGATGTTTCAGCTAGGGGGGAAATGTTCTCTTTGGCAGGGAGTTTTCATGCCCAAACAAAAGACTGATAGACTGTAGATTTTTTTTGTTTTTTTTTTCCTTCTTATCAGAGTTTGGGAAGCAGAAAACCAATGGATTGTAATTCATTTTGGGATGAATCATAGATCAGGCAGCCTGAAGGTGGAGTGGCACTGTCTATTACAATGTAAGCCCAGGTTTGGAAATTGACACAGGTTTTCAGGTCCTAAAACTGTGCCACAAAAATAACTACATTTCAACCTGGTTGTGGCCCAACAATATTTTATCATGGTTTATTTTTGCTGGTGTGCACATTAAACCATGTAATGACTAGAGCTAGTCAAATAATGCAAAAAATAAAATCAAATGCAAAAACCCTACCATGTTACAGAATCATCTTTTAGCCTGGGTATATGCACAAGGATTAAAACATGGTTCTTCAACACAGGGTTATAAAACATAGGACTTTCTCTGTCCACGCAGGCAAGAAAAGGCCATGTTATAACATGATTTCTCCTCCATCATATTTAAACATGGTAAAGAAAATGGGGTGGGTGGGGTTGGGCTTATGACCAGAATCTAACTGTAGACACCCTTTGTGGGTATTATCTTGTGAGTACTGCTGTTTAATCTCTCTTCCTATGTAGTGTATTACCACTTTTATGCAATGGTTTGTCCTTGGTGGACTGGCTGGCCCCAAAGAATACCCTGTTACACTCAGTCCCTCAGCACTGGGGAAAACATTTACCTCATAGCAAAAACACAGTGAAGAAGACATAAGCTGTTCTTTTATCGCCTTGCCCTCACTCTCACCCCAGCCCAGCAAATGGTGTTAGGGAAATATGAGCAATCAATTGGCCTTAATGGCAGTTTTGTAGTTGAAACCTTAGGCAAGTCATGGAGACTTGGGCTGTTGATCCAAAATATGTTACACCTGATTCTAGCCATTTAGCTCTTCAATTTTTTTTGTGCTCCTAGGGGCTGATATCAACACCCAAGCCAGCGATAGTGCCTCTGCTCTTTATGAAGCCTGTAAAAATGGACATGAAAAGGTGGTGGAGTTTCTCTTGTCCCAAGGTGCAGATGCTAACAAAACCAATAAGGATGGTTTATTACCTCTTCATATAGCATCCAAAAAAGGCAATTATGAGTAAGTTTTTGGTGTGTTTTTAATCACTTTATTGTATCGTTTCACCCTGTAGAAAGGAATTCAGATTTTTTGTTAAATTAATGGCCCAGATCCTCACATAGTGTACATCAGTATATTAATGGCCCTATATTCACAGAGTTTGGGTTTCAAATACTAAACTCAAGGGTGTGTTTGCTGGGATGGTATGAGTCAGTCATAAGGCCTTCCCTTCCACACCAGGGATGGATCCTGCTACCTCATCTGAGATATTACTTATTAGTGGTGGGCCTCCAGAAGCAGAACATGCTGCCCACGTTTTCAGTGTGTTCAGATTTTATCACCATTTATAGAGAAAAATAATTCAGAGGCTGACAGGCGAGGAGTGGATAAATAAATCTCTATGGCATTAGAGAGACCACTGCTGGAATAGTGTGTCCAGTTCTGGTGTCCGCACTTTGAAAAGGATGTTCAGAAATTGGAAAGAGTTCAGAAAAGAGCTACAAGAATGATTTGAGGTCTGCAGAACATGCTTTAAATTATAGTAACAGTCTAAATAAGCTCAATCTATTTTGTTTACACAAGAGAAGGTTAAGAATTGACTTGATCACCTTCTATAAGTGGGGAAAAGATTTCTGATAGATGGCTCTTTAATTTAGCAGACAAAAGCATAACAAGTTCCAATGGTTGAAAGCTGAAGCTAGACAAAACACATTTTTAATAATGAGAGTAATTAACTATTGGAACAACTTACCATAGGATGTGATGGATGTGTGTGGCCCAACAATATTTTAGCATGGTTTATTGTTGCTGATGTGCACATTAAACCATGTAATGACTAGAGCTCGTCAAATAATGCCAAAAACCAATGCACTTGAAGTCTTTAAATCAAAGTTGGATATCATTCTAAAAAATGTGCTCTTGTTGTAGAAATCACTTGATGAAATCTATGCAGTTATGCAGGAGATCAGACTAGGTGATCCTAATCATCCCTTCTGGCCTTAAATTCTATGGATCTATTCATGTTCCCATCAAAATCCCCAAATAAATAGTAGAATCATAAACTAAATACAGCTGCAAAATCTGTGTATGGATTTTTCCCATTTCAAAATGCACAAAGAACCTAACCTTTTTGACAACAACATGCCTTTTATCCAAAGATCTCCACGCACTTTGCAGACATTAACTAAACTTCCCAATATTACTGTGATGTATGTAAGGATTGTTATTTTCTGTAACTGTACCTTTGTGGAGGCTGTATGTGCCAGGAGGCATCCCCGAGTGAATTTATGTAACTGATGTATATATTGCTATAATGTAGGTAGGAATAGTTATTATAGCCTTATGCTGGCATGACTCAGAATTCTCTCCAGGGTTTAAGTTAAAAAGAGATTTTCTTAAAAACAAACATATTTTAAACTAGAAAAGGGTCAGAGGCAGAAACCCAGTTCCAGTCCTCCTTCCCTAAGCTCTGGAAAAGTGGCTCTGAATCTGAATGCCAATACTAAACCTGAACCAGACCTCTCAATCTGAACACCCCCAAAACCTGGACAAGTTTAGCTTCAGCTCCAAAGCTCTCCAACTTGAGTCCAACCCCACTTTCAAAGTAAGGGGCCTGATCCAAATCTCTCACCAGTCATTGCTGATTCCCATCAGTGCAGATGAGTTCAGAATTAAGTCAGAAGTCTTAGTTCCTTCACACTTAAAAGGTTGAGCACATTTTTTGGTTTATAACTGCTGTGAACTGAAGTGAAACAAAAGTATCCTTTCTTTAGCAGCCAAAATCAAATATTTATCCAGATGACAAAGCTTTACCCCAAGTGGCCAGTCGTTCCTAATTCCTTTGGTATTCAATATAACAACACCCTTCATGGTGACCTCTTTTTATATTCCTGCGGATTTAATACGTAATTCTCCAGGAATTCCACATTCAGACTTGCTGCCAGAACACGGAGGCTTCATAACGTCAAAAAGCCAAGAATGTGGTCCCAGGGCTCAACATTCAACTCTTATTGCTTGGTGTTTGTTTATGTTAAATGATGTCTTGTCAATATTAATGTGAAATGAATTTTGTTGGCATGGAATTCATAATTGTGTATCATCAGTATTGTGATCATAGCAAGATGTCACTTAACCCCTTTCTTCCCAGTGCTCAGGAGTGGTGGTGGAGAAGGGCAGAATTTGTTTGTGATTTATTTTGACTTATTAAAGATGGCAGTCAATCGCTAGGTGCATTTTTATTAGCATCCTATTATCTACAGCAGCTGGGAGGCAATGCAGCCGGCAGTGGCATTGGAACAATTTGTACAGTGGGGTGCTGAAAGACATTGAACAAAACCAAAAACCATGTATATGATGGAAACCATTTCAAGCCAGAGGGCGCTGCATTCCCCGCATCCCTAGTTACAGCATCCCTGGTAGCAGGTGGCAGAAAGGGTCAGGTGGTAGGGACCATGGGCAATCCAGCATCACTTCCAGTGTGGGAATGGCACTCAGGTGGCCCTGTGAAGGAGGTGGCCTTGGGTTGTCATGTAAAGCAGTAATTGGCTTTGCTTGGCTGTCTCTCACTGGGAAGAACCCCCCACCTTTGAATAGGAAGTAGAGTCTGCAGCTGTGGAGGCACGGTCATGCTGAACAGAGCCCTTGGGGGTCAGAAAGATAGGTGGGCTTCAGCTGCAAAATTAGGTTCCTGATACCGATGTTAGTGTTCCCCATCCCCAATCCTAAAATAAATGCAAGAGGCTTTGGATCTGGGCTTTGGGTTTGACACTTTAGCAAGAGAAGGGACATTTGCAAAATTCAGATCCAGAGCCAAGCATGGATTTCAAACACCCTCGGAGTTCAGGGTTCTTCAGGCCCCTCTCTAAACGCTGCTGCATCCTTTCAATCAGATACAGAGAGCTGGCTTGAGCACATTCACTTCCTGAGCAAGAGAACAAAAGCAACCCTTAAATCTTAATAAAACCCAGTAAATCACGGGATGACTAATGCTGGCACTTGGCATGGTGTCATCGCAGTGCTGCATGTGCTTTTTTTGCTTTTATGGCTATTATGAAGCATTTGTTGGAGATGGATGGTAGCCATCTAAGCAGCACCCAAATTGCCTGGATTCTGGTGAGCATCTTTGTTACATGAGGTCAGTCTCTCCGCTTTGAGAAAGGCTCTGGGTGGAAATATCCTCTGTAGGCTTTGGATTTTTTCCTTAAATAAAGACAAAACTTCTTCAGGTCTATGAATCATGGTGTGGCTATAAACTTGCCATGGGAGACATCATAGTCCAACATGTAAATAGGCATATAAGGTTCTGCGTGTCTCCAGCTCTCATTTTAATCTGAGTAGAGGGGCCTTAGCACCACTCAGGAGCAGCTAAGCACATGGCATCATCAGATGCTTTAAAAGTCATAATCATTACTATTTAGTTGGCTTTATCCTGTAAATCTCCTGATCATGGGATATGCTGAGCAGCTGCCATTGCAGTCAAGCTAAAGATGGCCAGTATGTTTAATACTCATCACACTTTTATTGTGAAGGCTGTACAATGATGGCAGCTCTATTTGAGTTGTTAAGGAAGCACCATTGTTTCCAACAGAAATTCCTGTTTACTGAGGTTTATAATTTAGCTGTACATTTTTTCCCCTCTGGGCTAATGCTTGGCAATTTGCCTGGAAAACGGCTTTGGTTCTTTATTTTATTTTAATTCCTAATTGTCCTTTTGGCTCATCACAACTGGTCCATCTTGGGTTTACTCCGATAGCCCCATGGATTTGCCCCTCCCAATACCCACCGAGTGAAGGGCTCCCGAGGGGTGCCCAGGGCAGGGAGTTGGATTTAGTACCAGAACTGTAACGCTGGCTTGGATCCTGGGACCTGAATATAATCCTCCATCGATGAGCTCAGAACTGAGCTCCTGGCTTTGCCCTCTCTCTCTCGTTTGAAGCATTGTGAAAAATCAATGCATAGAAATGCATCAGGGCCAAAGCTAATCCTAATTTTTAGGGACTACGGTGAGACCTAATGTGGGGGCAGATTATCCTACATCTGCCTACTGCTGAGTTCTTACTCCTTCCTCTGAAGCATCTGATGCTGGCCATTGTCAGAGGCCTCTTGGACCAGATGGCCATTGTGTCTGACCCAACCTGGCAGCTCCTCTGCTCCTAACCCCACCCTGTCAGGATGAAAATGCACTGGTCAAGTTGTGGGGGAAGGGGCTGTACGGCTCATGCCTGTGTTATCAGTCCTTCACTTTCATGAGCAGCTGGCTCACTCCTGTGCTAATAACCGCCTCGCTATTATTTGCTGTAGATTGTCTAAGGCTAACAGTTATCCACTGAATCCCCTTCTTGCAGGATAGTCAAAATGCTGCTCCCCGTGACCAGCCGCACTCGGGTCAAGCGCAGCGGCATCAGTCCGCTCCATCTTGCGGCTGAGCGCAACAACAACGACATCTTGGAAGAGCTAATTGAGGCCGGCTATGATGTGAACACCACCCTCTCCTTTGAGAGAGCCCGGCTCTACGAGGACAGGCGCAGCACCGTCCTCTACTTCGCCGTCATTAACAATAACATCTACGCCACAGAGCTGCTGCTGCAAGCCGGCGCCAACCCCAACATCGATCTTATCAACCCACTGCTAATCTCCATTCGCCACGGTTGCCTGAAAACCATGAAGCTGCTTCTAGACCACGGGGCGAATATTGATGCGTACATTTCTAGCCATCCCACTACTTTCCCAGCCACCATCATGTTTTCAATGAAGTACCTCAGTCTGCTCAAATTTCTAATGGATCTGGGCTGTGATGCCGACTCCTGTTTTAAGTGTCAGTACGGAAATGGCCCACATCCTGTGCTGGATCATAGAAGGGACAGATTGGATGATACCCCGGTGAACAAACAGCCAAACATAGTACAGGTAAGTGCTATCGAATCTAATCGATCTATGATATTTATATGGCCACCATTAACATAGTATCTGAACCTCTCACATTCTTTAATGTAATTATCCTCCCAACACCCCTATGAAGTGCGGCAGGGCTGTTCTCCCCATTTGACAGATGGGGAACTGAGTCACAGAGAAGCTAAGCAACTTGCCGAAGGTCACACAGGAAGTCTGTGACGGAGCTGGGAATTGAAACCAGATCCTCAGCTAGTGCTCTAACCACTGGACAAGCCTTCCTACGTAGGCATTGATACCACTCTCTTTGCCTTGGTATTTGAGCCATCGTGAATTAAATTACCTCTCTAGGTAGCACCCCCTATTTCCTCTGGGGGTTGGGCAGAAGAGATCTGCCTTGAAACATTTTCTATTTTAGACTTTTTCAATTATAAATTGACTGGTAAACTTTGAACATCGATTGGGTGCTCTATTGGACTCATCCCCCAATGGTCCTTTGGATGATGTGTGGTCTATTGTTCTAATGTTCCACTGTGTGCCAAAAGAGTGTGCTCTTTTAGTGGTCTGTGCCAGTGGTTCTGAGGCTAGCCTATGTCAAGAGGGGCCATGCTGCTGTTTTCTGGGGATGGGGGTGATGTTTTAAAATCAAATTTGGTTTCTAGCCCCTCTGGTTGGGAGGGTAACCTAGTGAATGTTCATAATTGCAGTAATTTGTTTTACTGAATGTATAGCATTAGAGAAAGTGTGAGTCACAATATTAGCAACACAAATAAGTAAATTATAGTTAAGGTTCTCAAAGCCGTCTAGGGGAGTTAGACACATAGGCTGATATTTGCAAATGCACTGAAGGGATTTAGATGCCCAGTTGCTGTAAATTAGCCATATTTCTGATATAGCCATATGTTTCAGACATATCTTCCGCTATCATTAATGAAAGATTCCCCTAGACTGCTTTGAGAAGTCTGATTATACATTTTAATATGTTTTTAAAAGTATTTAAAAAAATATTTTACCCATGTAAATAGCTCATTTCCCAGTCTGGGTCTCAACTATTATTATTATTCTAGTGCCTAAAATTGTGCTAGATGCCTCACAAAACTAAATCCCTGCCCTGAAGATTGTTCGGTTTAAACTTGACATAACACAACTAGTTAAAGTCATGTAAAATCCTACCTGTGCCTAAAGTAAAAGAGAAATCACTGATCATAGAAGACATTTCCCCTCATCTTGTTATAAAATTGTTATAAAATTTGGTTCTTGGCACTAGGGGATTGGTTAATAAAAGATAGGTGTATATGGTTTAGCTCGTTAATATTTTTGTATACCTTTATACTTTGAAATAAAGCCCAGGAGATCATTTGGGACCTTCGTCATTAAACTTCACATAAAATACATGCACTCATTATTTCAGTCATATGAGATTACCTGAAATTACAGACATCCCAGACTTTTCACCAATGAGTGTTTACAGACCAAAAGCTGATAATAGATCTGAATTAACTAGGTATCAGAAGATGAACTGAAAAGTACATCACTACATATTATTACTATTGTTGCTAAAGTTTATTGTTCCAATCTATAGTACTTAAGACTTCTACAAACATTAGGATAGGGAGATCAGTCTACAAATATATTAGTTCATGATTCCATAAAATGTTTCATTTACCCATGTAAAAGGAAAACAATTGGTTTCTTCTCAATTCATGTATTGAGAATTAGAATGTTGGAAATATGAAGATGAAGAGTAATTTATTGTAATGCCACTAGAGGGCATTTACCTTTTGTAGCCCCAGCTTGACATGGGTAATTGGACACGGCAAAGCCTCATTTCTTGGGGGGCTCGATTGGGGAGGTAAATGGATCAGCAGTTGGAAACAGAATGTCTGTACTAGATAAGATAAGGGGGAACACCCAAGGAACCATTTTGAATGGACAAGATAAAAATGGATGAGCTAAATTAGGAATGTAAAGATAAGGTAAAGAGTCAGTTGTTCATGGACAGTGCATGTGTAACTCATGCCTACTTGCTGTGGTGCTCTGTCCTCCTCTAGTGGCACCTAGACCATCTAGAGATTGATAAGTCCACTACAGCCTTGGCTCAGAGCCATGTGGTTTTTAGCTCATGCAGTAGAGGCTCATACACTAAGCTTCAGATGTCCCAGGTTTGATCCCATCTGCCAAGGACCAGGGTCTGTGGGCGTTACACATGCTGTACAGAAATTGGTTCCTACAGAATAACCAAGCCAAGCCCAAAACATGTGATGCAATGTATAGTCAATGCAACACAATGTGTAAATGTAATTGAAGGAAGAGGTTTGCAATGTAACTCTGGATGTGTGGTATGCCCATGCCCCTCCCCTCCATGCTTGAGTCTAACCAACTCAGCATAGCTTTGCTCTCTGCCAAATTAAGGAGCCTGAGTGATGAGACTGGAGTCGAACGGAGTTCTTAGGGAACCGAATGGAAGAGGTCTTGGGGGGACCCCAACACCTTTGTGCAGAGAGTGAAGTCCAGATTGATACCAGTCCCAGTGTAATTTTGTTTCTGTAACGCTCACATTTCCTAGGGTTGCACTCTGTGGTTTTTCCCCCAAACATTTTCTGTTAGTTTATTTGATGAGTGTTTGAATGTTGTCTGTGTATGTGCAGAGAGGGTGGCTGCCAGAAGAAAGAAGAATAAGAACATTAGACACAGGATCTGCTTCTGTATTGTCTTGCACGGTGTGTCATCATTTAAACCTGGACAAAGTGGGTATAAAGTGCTGCCATTAGGATGTGGTAGCACTTTACACTCACTTTGTGCTCCCTTTAGGCAGGTGTGAATGCCAACACCACGTGTAAGGAGTGGGCAAATCAGGCCCATGTAGCCCAAACAGAGCTTCCTATAACCAGAAGAAGAGTAGGAGACCCACTGAAGTCCACTGGGGACCTTGCAACACAGATCTAATTTACTTGGAAAACAGTCAGATACTTTGGTGATAGTCACAACACGGCCCCCTAAAAGAAATAGATGGATGGGGTTAGATTTAGGTAGGAAGATAGGCCATATTTTTTAAATGGGTGCTGAAAGTCAGGCTTCTAAGATTGTATTTAGGCATCTAAATGAGTGGCCTGATATTCAAAGGTGCTGAGCGCCCACCAGCTTCTACTGACAACGAGTTTTTCCTGATTCAGGAGAAAGTAAGGGGGACTGCAGGCTTTGGCCCCATATTAGGCCTAGTTTGTTTTCTGACACAGAATAACCTACGTAGTGAAGCAAAAGCTTCATGTGGTTTATCTTGTAGTAGCTCCACTAGACTGGTCCTTGGCCAGGAGTTCAGCTCCCCCACAAACCTACAGATCTCAGGGAATCTACTGGAGGCTTCGTCCTTCCACGTCGAAGTCCTGTGCCCCTGCACTACCAGCCCTGCCAACTGCTACCTCAGACTTTCCCCAAACTAGGATCCCAAAGAAGAGAAATGGAACATGCTAAGGGTGATGGAGCCTAAGGTTGTTCTGACTTTAAAGCAGATTCTCTGCTGGTATCCAGGGAAAGCTGAGGGCTCTCATCCAAGCACCCAGCCACTCATTGATCCTTGGCTATCCTGAGGACCCTTATTGGGTGACAAAGGATATTGAGGCCCTATAGGTGGTTGACACTTCTTCCATGCTCCAGAGCCAGGAATCCATTGGGATTTTGTTTCATTCACCCACAGTGGGAGAGGGGGTGATGTTTCCCTCAGCAGCAATAAGGGGTTTTTAGTAGAAGTTTTCATAGGGAAAATTAAGAACTGTCTTTATCCATGGTATGAAGGCGTAACCAACATGATGTCCTGACAGTCTCTCCCCCCTGAGGAACTTATCAATTTCACACTGACTGCAGTAGCTCTGGCTTTTGTTTCAGTTTTGTGATATGGTGTCTGCTCCGGAGATGAATCGCTGGGCCGGGCCTATTATCGATGTTCTCCTGGATTATGTGGGCAATGTGCAGCTCTGTGCCCGGCTAAAGGAGCACATAGACAGCTACGAGGACTGGGCAGTTGTTAAAGAGAAAGCAGGTATGACGCGGGGCTGAATTACATTACACGGGCCAGAATCGGTACCAGGGAAGTCACATTGCTGGGGGACAGCCTGATGTTCATAAAAAGCTTCAGCCAGTCAGAAACCACCTTCTTTCACAGGTAGGATGCTCTATCATTGGATCCCTTGTGGAAAGGTAGGGTAGGTCTTTAGTTTCATTTCTACTGAACTGTATTTGGTTTCAACCTTATTACGTTCTATAAGGTTATCCCAGAAGGGTTGAATGCCATTTTGGGCCATAGTTTTAGCTAGTATAAATTTACATAGCACAATTGACTGTAATGGAGCTAAGCTGTTTTACACCAGCTGAGGATCTAACGCACTGGGTCCAAGCCATCCCTGATTTCAATGGAGACACACTAGGGACGAAAGTGCAGCATTAGGTCTATGCTCTACATCAGTCAAAACGGAGCAGGTCAATAATCCCGCCCTCCCCACTCCCCCACTTCCCAGACAGCCTGAAATGCAGCAGTATGATACTAATACTTTGTACTTCTAAAGCATCTTTCATCTAAGGATCCCTAGGGGCTTCACAAACATTAATGTATTGAGTCCCACAGCACCTCGGGGAGCCAGGTAAGTAATAGTGGGAAACTGAGTATAATTAAGTAACTTGCCAAAAGCCACCCAGCAAGACAGTAGCAGAGTCTGAGATGGACTGCAGGAGTCCTAACCTCTTGTCCCCTCTTTCTGCACTACACCTAAGTGCCTGGGCAGCCACGGATCCCAGTGAGACTTCACTGTTCTAGAAATAAAGAGACTCTTTTGTGTTTATCCCTCAAGCTTTCCTCTGGTTTATATTTGCATCTCCACCTTTTTGCTAAGCTGCGTTTGCATTAGGGGGTCAGCTGTAATGACAGCTGAGCTGGCAGATCCTCACGGCTGGCGTTTTGTAATGCAGGGGATTACTTGGTGACTTGGCTCATTGGCACAAGAGTTCACCCTATTCCCCCTCCACACTTACAAATCTCCTTCTTTCCAGGGGATTCTTTCAGCCCCCCCTCTTCAGAATCCTGGGGATCCCAACCCCATTTCCCCACCCACCTGCGAGGCCTCACATTGTGCCTACCATTGTTCTGGCCAAGGAGGGCTGAGCATGGTTCCTGGTCGAGCCAGAGGGGTTGCCACAGCGCTATCTGAAGTATTTCCTCTCTTCCGCCTCACATAGTGTCTCAGCTCCCGCCAGCCTGAGAACAAGGGACATAGCTCCCAGCCCCATGTGGCGGTGCGATGCGTTAGCACATGGAGCCAGCTGCCCTCCCCCTGACAGGTCTGAACCTCAAACTCCACAGGGCTGCAATGTCGGACAGACTGGATGCAGGCTGTGGTTAGTGCGGGACATGTATTAAGGTGCAAACTCTCAGCTGAGCTGCATGCTGTGCAGAGGATGTACACACCATACATGGCTCACCGCACAGTTCATCCCCTTTGACTGCACTGACTCCGCTGCTGGGGGTCCTTCCTCTACAGTCCCTAATAAATGTAACGGCTCAGCATGTGAGGCACTGACCTAGCTTAATAACTCAACTGATCTGAAAATGCCCGACTAACATTTAGGTCCTGTCTCTTTTCCAGAGCCCCCCAGGCCTCTCGCTCACCTTTGCCGGATCAAGGTTCGAAACGTGATTGGGAGAAACCGCATTAAACTGATTGACACTTTGCCTCTGCCGGGCAGACTGATTCGATACCTACAGTATGATTATTCACAGTGACCTCGTGCAAACCTGGTGATCAGCAGCTTCCTTGTGCAACAACCCAATTCATTAGAGAGGAGAGTATTCACATGATCATGTTGAACGGACTACGTGATGGGAAGGAACCTGTGTCACATGTCACACAGGATCACCCCATAGCTAATCTGTGTGCATGACAATGCTGGAAAGGGAGAGAGAAGAAATGGAGAGTGAAAGACACAGAGTGACACAGACAGGACAGACTATCCTTTGATTTTTTTTTCCAAAAGAAAACAAGTGCTTTGGAATGTTACACACCTCAGAGATCTGTAGGGAAGGGGACAGGAACGCCAGCACTGAAAAACTAGCAGAGTCAAAGCCACGTGACATTGCGGGATTCGAAAAGGACCTGAGGGTCTTTCAGAGGTTAGAGTTCTTCAGTGCTCAGGAATCAGTAATTGTCAAGAATCTGCATAGCTGGGGAAACAATCACATTTCCCTGAATGTTATTTTGTTTTCTGTCATGTTAGGCTGAGCGGTTTGCTGGTTGCTAATTCTCTGGTACCTTGACATTATCTCTCTCACCTATTTATTTTTTGTTTCTTTGGCCTTTTCACTTGATTTCCAAGCGTTCAAAACTCAGAGCTTTTGAGAAGATTTTTTCTCCCCAACAAAGACATTTTGTAAATATTGGTGCAAACCAAGAAGACTTGACTCATCCTAAACTCCTGTTAAAGTCAGTGGACATTTTATATGAGTAAACATACCAGGACTGAAGGATTTAGCTCACAGTAAATACTGTTTGTGGTATATTAAATGTGCATAAGAAGTAGACAGGGCTCTGGTGTAAGTGAATTTCTGCAGTGAAGATCCAAAAGCAATTCTGAACTCCTTTTAACTGGTGTAAATCCGAAATAGGACCACAGAAGTCAATGGATTTTCTCCACCATAAAATTGCTGTGAGAGCAGAATCAGGCCCTGAAATTCAGGTGACAGATTTTAGTGAAGCCAAGACACTGAGCTACTGTTACTTGTAGAAGAGTCAGATTATTTCAAAATTATAAACACTGGCACTAAGATTTTCAAAAATTAGGCTCCTCTGTCCTTATTTATGCATTTAAATAGTGCCAGATTATGATACACTTACACTGAACATTTACTTATGCCACCAGTAATTTCATTGAAGTCAGTGAGGAGACTTGTGCAGTAAGGTGCTACTCAAGGAAAATTACAGTATCATAATTTGTCCCTAAGTGGCCTGAATTTCAAAAGTGCTGAGTACCTGGAAGCTCCCACTGACATCAATGAAAGCTGCTAGATTTCAGCCCCTTTGAAAATCAAATCACTTATTTGGCACCTATATAAGGATTTACATTAGACCCCTATCTTTGCAAATCTTGGCCTAGAAATACACAGGCTCTTCACCCTCTTATTGTAAACACAAAAGGAGTTTTGGGCTCCAGTCTGATTTGGATTCATACCAGAGATTATCTGCACGTCCAACCATACATACATTAGGTATGGTTTTGTGTGTTGACCTGCCCACCAGATACTGATTCAGACAGAAATCTAAGCAAAGCAGGAGAAATACAGTTATTCATGACAAACGGGGCTGCATTGCACAAAGGTTTCTTCTTGTAGACTTGTACACCTTACCACAAAACTATAAGTGTATTGCACACATGCATGTCTGCTTTTGCCCAAAGTTTGGAGTGAAATTCCGCAAGCGCTGGAAGGTATGGGATGTAAGCAACAGTAGCAACAACTGCAGCTAATTGCACCTCTGTGTGTTGACTGTCCCCTTCCAAAATGCAATGGCAGTGGAGAAACCAATGCCGTTTCAATTCAGATTGAGCTGTGATCCTCTAGCAGAGCTTTGAAGAAAGTGATTAGTGCCTGGCCAGCTCCTCAGCTAGTGAAAATGGGGAAAGCTCCACCCATTGTCTTCATTTACTCCCGCTGATGTTCTGGCCCCTCATTCTCAGGTCTAACAATGATGCTGACCATTTTTCCTCCTCCAGTGGGTATCTCCTGCTTTGGTGAACTACACTCCAGACACTCTGTCAGGGTTGAAAGGGAGATGAAGGACAGAAGAGATGCCAAACAGCAGGCTATTTCCCATTCCAAAAACAATAATGGGCCAGATCCTGCAAGATGCTGAGCAGCTCGATATAGCAACCTCAGAAGGAAAATAATTCAGAGCAGGCGCCTGCTCTGCAGCTAGCGTAAATGGGCACAGCACCCATTACTCCAGTGGAGTAGCACCCATTTATACCAGCTAGGATCCAGCCTTTGGTGTTTGCAAACAGTTTGCTGGAGGGAGCTCTGAAAATCACCCCTGCTGTCTGGTAACTCATTCCAGCAGCACGGCGCTTCAGAGAATTTTTACATAATTCTAAGAAAACCATTTTTGACACCACTTAAAACTCCCCAAATTTCCCCCTTTCAATAATGCACCATAATTTGCCAAAAAACAAACATACAATAAAGAATCAGAAAAAGACCCAAGCTGGGAGCCCTCCTTGTGAGCCCAGGCATATTACCGCTGGCCTGAAAGGAAGCCCTAGAGCTGCTCAGACACAGCCTTGCTTTTGAATATTTAGCATGAACATCCTAGATGAACAGATGCATGGCCTGTCCATACAGCCCTGACTCATGCTGGTGAACACTTACTTCACTGAAGAGACTAATGCCTGTGAATAAAGTGCACACCCCATGTGAAAGGATTCCACAGGCCAGCTCCAGTAGTCCTAACAGTAGTGTGTGAACTAAGTAGCTTTTGATATACAGAAAAATCACCTGGTTAGCTGGCATAGCTCACGCCTCTGTGGGTTGAGCGTGGAGGGCCTGGTTCTTGCTTACTTCCATTATTGTAAATCAGGGGCAACTCCCCTGAAATTAAACCAGTGTCACAGGCTAGAATCAGACTGAGTTGCAAACAGATATTGATACTGAAACCCAGCATGGTGGAGAGGGTTTACCTAAATATCTATGTGTTGTATAATCAGATTATCTGAGGCCACCTTTCTGATGGAATGATTTGAACTCACACACCGTGTACATACAGTAGTGCTGGGATTTCATAAGCAATCCAAAGCTGTGGAATACTCTGGAGAGGAAACTTTTACATATGCAAAATGATCATGGGATACAGGGTTGTTCTGTTTTGTTGAACCTGGAAAAACTGAAACTGGGTATGGGTTGAGCAAAAGACGTATTACTCCTTAACTGGATACCTACAGGCCTGATTGCTCTATCATATTTGTATCGGTCAGGCGTACCGCCACTGAAATCAATAGAGCTACCCTGGTATAAAATTAGTACAAGCGAGAGCAGAATCAGGCCCATACTGTGCACATAAACTGAGGAGAGATCACTCCATTGACCTGGCACTCGCGATATCACTTTATCCTTTCTGCTTGACCCTCACTGCCAGCCTTTCCACAGTTGATTTACATTTATTTGCACTAAAACAGGGCAGGCTACCTCTCTCACACCCGATGTCCTGAATCTGTACAAATTCTCTTTTCATTTATAAAAATGAATACAGCTGTATAGAAGTCATTGTGAAATTGAAAAAATACTTCGGAGCCAAGGCTTTGGAACCAGTTCAGTAGTTCCAATATGCAGTAAAATGGTATATTTTTATGCATCAGGACAGACATCTTCAGTGATGAGAAGTGTTGTCAGCTGTTCCAGGAATACTAAATGGCCAGAATACTGTACTTTGTTATTGCAACATGTGCAATTCACTTTATGTTCTTGTGCACTTTTTTGTACAAAAGCTTTTTCAATTGTTTTATTATTTTTTGCCGTTATTTATAAAATATAGTGTGGGTTTAATATTTTACATTTGCATTATGTTTTAGCAAATGGTGGCGTTCCGGTGTTATGTTTTTCAGCTTCTAAACAAAATGCAAATAAACTAACATTCTAAAATGTTACCTGCTGCTCTGAGGACCTAGACAAAGAGGTATCTGGGGAAAGTTTGAACCAATCGAAGCAGTAATAAGTAATAATCTAAACAGTAGTCACAGGAAGAGGAGACTTGTATTGCTGAGGAGAGGTTGTAGCTCCCCAGAAGACTTAAGAAGAATGTCTCACACAAACCTCTTCAGTTACTTCAGCTACATGTAATGATGTCATTCGAGTTCTGGAACACTGCTGCTTCACTTCTTAGAATACACCAGCATTCCATGAAAGGTCCCAGCCCTGGAACTAGAACCATCCAGAAAGTGGGCTTTCCGTGTGGCTTCGTTACAAATTTGGCTTCTGAAATTTGGCTTCGTTCCAAACTTGCAAAGGAAAATTACAAAAAAAAAGGAAAAAAAAAAGGATGATAGAAATGTTTCATTTTGACATTTTGTTCCAATTTTGACTTTCTAAAGTTATCGTATTATAGTGCTAGCCATGATCCTACAAAATGAAAGCTTCTAAATGAAAAGTCACTTAAAAAAAAAAAAAAACAGAAGTGGTTTGACGTTGTCAGAACTCTCCCTCTCCCTCCCCCACCCCATTTTCCTCTGAAATGACATTGACCCAGTTTCATGAAGTGTTTTCATTTTGATGGAACCATACATTCTGAAGTGGTTCCAGAGAGCCAGGTGCTGATCCCAGTCATCCTGCCTGCTGGCAGCCTGGCATAACTCCAGTGAAGCTACTCTGGGTTCACACAGTTGTGACTGCGTTCAGCATCTAGCCCATTGGTTTCAGTCCGACTACAAGTGTGAATAAGGGCCACTCATGTGAGAAAGAGCTGCAGGAACCCCTTGTCTGTAGCTCTGCAGCTTGTCTCTCTTGGGCCCATTTCTCCTCCTAAGAGGAAATTTTGCATTTCACTTCAATGGATGCAGGATCAGGGACGCTGCCTCTTCATGGAGTCTTTTCTGAAGACAAGGAGGAGGTATTGAAGTATGATAGAGGAGCCAGACCCACACTTCCATGCTGGCCCCCAAGACTCTATGGATCTGATTCTTCTGGACCTTATGCTATTATTTACAACTATGCAAAGCTGGTAAAATGCTACCGAATCAGACAATCATGTTGTATAATGCCTTCTTTGCACAGGTGTAAATGACTGCACAAGGAGAAGGAAGTTAAGACTCAAGCCTGGTTCATCTTTCATGCTGTTACTTTTAGACTACAGGAATAACCCACTGTGGCTTCACTTCTGCATAGGCTACTCTCAGGGTTATGATTGAGATGGCTGGGGAAAATGGGCCCACTGGCCAGAGAATGATCTGCATGCCCTTCATAAAAATTGCAGGCAGTATACAAGGCCAGACCCTCAGCTGATGCATATGGTCTGATTCTCCTGTCACTTTTATACAGTGTAGCTCTATTGACCTCAGTGATTTACACCTCTAAGCGACTGGAGAATCAGGTCCATAATATTTAATCATAAGTCTCTGGTCCTATTTGTTTAGCATCATTTCTTTGTAGGCTTTAGAGAAGTTTAACAAAACACTCCTTTTAACCTATCAGAAGTGATTTAATCACACATGACCAGCTTTGCAAGTGAATAACTTGCAAACTACTAGAGTACTTATTTATCTGCAGCTTTCCATCTTAGAATCAGGGCATGTCTGCACTTAAACCACTTCTTCTGTCCACCTCGTGCTGTCTACACTCGGGGTTAGGTCAGCATAGCTACGCTGCTCGGGGGTGTGGATCACCCCTTAGCAGTGTAGCCATGCCAATGTAAGCTCCTAGTGTAGACCAGTCCTCAGGCAGAGTAGAGAATTGTCCCTGGGAAGCTCATTGCCTTGATCAACTGAGTCTAGGTCTACACCTAAAACATAGGTCAATCTAGTTATGTCGCTAAGGGGTGTGAAAAATTAACCCTCCCCCCGAGATACATAGTTAAGCCAAACTAAGCCCCCTGTAGACACCTTTAGGTCAATGGAAGAATTCTTCTGTCAACCCGGATGCTGCTTCTTGGAGAGGGGGGATTTATGACAGCCATGGGAGAAGCCCTTCAGACACTGTAGTAAAGTGTCTGCACTACAGTGCTGCAGCTGGGCCACTGTAGCATTTCTGGTGCAGACATACCCTGAGGCTTTAGTGCCAATGTGTTCACCCTCCGATCCTCTCTCTTATATCACTGGTTTTGCACTTACATGTTCAAATGCTAAACCATTTCCAGTCTATTCTCTTAGTTGTCACAGGGCAGGTCTGCTCTCAGTCACACCAGTTTTAAACCGGCTAATTTCATAGCCTTCAGTGGAGCTACTCCTGATTTACACCACTGTGAATGATTAGAGAATCAGGCCCTCATTTCTGAATGACAACACCTTTACAAACTGAACCTGAATCTACTCGCTGGGAGGAAGGTAAACATGCAATCTGAACATACTTGAGATGTGGAGACAAATAAAATTACCTGCTTTATTTTTTTTTAAACTCTCTTGATATTTACACAAGAGAAGAGCTGAAATCAACTTACAAACTTATCTTCTGCATTAAATACTGTCCTATCGGTAAAAGAAAGTGACCTGAAAACCTTAACTGATTTCTTTAGAATGACTTTAAAGTACAAGAGATATTATCAGTTTAATCACGTCATTGCTGCTGCTGGTGCAGAGCGTCCCCATTAAGACATTCCCATATGGAAAAGGTCTCGTAGGGGTTACAAGTGCAGATTCCAAATGGTTCTTAGCCTGACACACCCTGGGTCAAACAATTATCTTAAATACAAGAGGCCCAGTTCTCCTGTCATTTAACTGCACTGGCTTCAGTAAGAATTATTCCTGATTTATACCAGTGCAGTGAGGGAAGACTGACACCCAAAAGTATTCACAACCACTATTTAAGTCAGCCAGCTTGTGCCTTTCCGATTAAAGGAGCAGCCTGTAATAGCTACCCGTCTATAGACAGATGGAAATGATAGCAGATTCTTTCCCTAAGAATTGCTCCACAGTGTGACTAGCTGATGGGCCAATGGCTGAAGTTACATTTCAATTTCATTTGAAAGAGCTACCATACACAGCACAAAATCCCCTCCCCTCCCTCAGGCTAAATGTAGCCAAACACATTGAAAATAGGAGGTGGCACTGCCGGCTTGGTAGGGATGGGTTTCAAAACCACTGGTCTGTATAGTTTCTGCCCCATACTGCCTGCCTCCTTGCAGAAGTGTTGGATCTCCCCTGCGGGTGCTGTGCTTTTCCTCCATAGCCCCAGGCCTGGAAAGGGTGATTGAGGTAGGGCTCCAGGGGTTTGGTAAACAGGTTGTCCATGGTACTGAAATGGACAGCAGCTCCAGGCATTCATCCGGCCAGATAAGGATGTCCCGGGCACTTTGATAGGCTCCTTCTCCCCACTGGGCTGGGCAGGCAGAGGGGGGCTGCCTGGCTCAGTGGTATCAGGACCCTTTTTGCTTTTCTTGCCCTCGTAAGGAGGGAGGTCCCTGGAGTTTGGGAGCCCATCCAATCCGGCAGGAAAGCTCCCGACCAGCAGACTCTGAGTTGGTCTGGGTTCTTCCCAGAAGGAAGCAGGCAGCTGTCTTTTCCTCATGGGCACCTGATCTGGCCTTACAGACTCTGGGCTTTGCTCTTGCAAAACCTGTCCCCCACTGAAGTTCTCCTCCACCTCTGATAGCCTCAGGGCCTTTTCACTGGACGCTCTGCAGTGATTTGGATCTGGGCCATCTGGGTCTGAACTGCGATTTCTATCCTCTGCCCCCCGTTTGGAGCTGGATTCCATGGATTTGCTGGGGTGGCATCTTGGGATCCTGGAATATTTCTGAGAAAAACGCTTGAGCTGCTTCTGCAAGTATTTTCTGTGGTCAACTGAGCGGCGGCAGGGAGCAGACTTGTCCAGAGCAGCTTTGATGTCACTAGAGGCCAGGTTCACAAAATTCAGTAACGTTTTCACCTCGCTGTCTGATGCCATTTCAAAGAGGGATCCTCCTGGAGATTTCCATCAAAAGTTTATAATCCCACTCCTCAAACCTGGGCAAACCTGTGAAAGCAGGAGGGACATATTCATGACTTCAAACCCAAATGCTCCCCTGCAGCAGGAAAAAAAATCGAAAGCATCAAGTAGATGGGAAAAACAAGAACAAATCAAACTTCTCAGCTGAACAAGCCAGGTGTCAGATTGTCATGCTAGCGAAATTTGAAACATCTGCAGCACATCCACATCCTTGCAATCACACAACCATGGCACGCGCACACACGCGCACACACGCCAGCTTGTTACTGCTGAGAACCAAATGGTTAATCTTGTTAGACAGGTAATGTTTAAAGCGTAAGCAGAAAGCTCAGCAGCACTTCCATGTCACTGTAACCAAAACACACACACTGAGTAGATTGTCTCTCTAATATTGACTGTTACTGTATCACTGCTGAGAAGAACCCAGTTCCCCGGCTAATCTTGTTATACAGGTTATCCACTACCAACCTTTAGAGAAGCAACCGGACCCTCTGAGTGTTTAGAAGCAGTTTAGCAGCACTTGAGTAAGCTGAATGAATATCAACTCCTTCTAGTTAGGGGGCTTTCTCAGACCAATCAGAAGCCACTTTGCCAAATACAAAGCATCCCAATCAGGCATTAGGCTCCCCCGTTCTCACATTCTTTGTCATCACAAATTGTCGCCATGGGGACAGCCACAGAAAGACAGCTAATAAATACGACCATTTCCCTGTGATTTCTACCATTCTCCACTCTTTCCTCCACCCCTTTTTTCCTCCTCCACCCCTGTGAGGGCCTTCCCTTTGCTCCCCCTCCAACAACACAATCCAACATGATATGCTGCTGATGAGTAAAGAAAGTTTAGACACCCTTTTCTCTAAACTACCCCAAAGCTGTCTGGAGGCTGGCAGTAACCATGCTTCAATGACACAGGACAATGCTAGTTTGGGAGACCAGGCTAGCCTGCTTTTAACTGTTCTTGATCAGGGCTTTT